CAGTTTGAAAACATATGCCTGCAAAATTCTAAAAGTAGGTCACAGTGACCTACTTTTTCTTAAATATGTTTTAAGGTCATAAGATGCAGCAACTTACAAGATTTGATGGTTCTAACCCTTTCAGTGCCTGAAATAATGGGATCAAATGTTTTAAAAAGGTTAAGTCATAAAGTTCAAAAAGTAGGTCACGGTGACCTACTTTTAGGTTGACGTTGTTCAAGGACCCAAGATGCATCAACTGACAAAGTTTCATGATCATAGGCCTTTAAGTGTCCAAAATATGCCTTCAAATCAATTTGAAAACAAATGCCCGCAAAATTAAAAAAGTAGGTCACCGTGACCTACTTTTGAGTTAACATGATGTGAAGTCCTAATATGCATCAACATACAAGATTTGATGATCCTAGCCCTTATAGTAAGCAAAATATAAACATTTTTATTAATTGTCAATTTAGGTCAACTTCAAAGTGATCTTGAGGCCACGCCCTTTGCCCCAGGGTCATGCCTTGAGCAATTTTTAATCTTCAACATATCCTGATCCTTGTATGTAAGTTTGGTGAAAATCTGCCTGGCGGTTCTGGAGAAGATTTTTTAGCAACTAGTACTTTTGTTTTTGTTTTCCTGATTATCTCCCCTTGTTTAAGGGTCCCAACCCTTATTTTAGTATAAATGGTAGCCCTTGGGCCAAGGATACCCTATGGCAAATTTGGTACTGATTGGCCAAAGGGTTCTTGAGTTATGGCCCATATTCTAAAAAGTTAACGCACACCGCACACATGGCCATAGCATTAGCTCTTTCAGCCTTTGGCTCAGAAGAGCTAACAAACGATAGAATAAAATGCCAAACTTTTAAAATACAAAAATCGTTTTTGGAAATTTGATTTTTGAACATTTAAGGTAAGCATCTAAAATATTAAAATTCCTTAACCTTTTTAGAAATTTGAAAGTTAGGTGTTTGAACTAAAATATTAAATTTCAATATATCAAATCAGTTTTAGTTTTTGAAAGTTAGATATTTAAAGTAATATATTAACATTCTAAAACTCTACATCGTTTTAGAAATTTGAATTGTTAAGTGTTACACGGACCCGCACCCAAAGACTTTAATCTATTCACTCAACCGGAAAATGTAGGTCAGATTCAGCATCCGAAGCAAGTCGGGTAGTATAATCCTAAGATGTATCATCCATGCAAGTTTGGTGGTCCAACATAGGGCTTTTAGTTACTCGGAAATGAGACATCCTTAACAAAAAAATACTATAGTAAATTATACTTAACTATAGTAAATCAAAGTTCTGAAGTTTCACCATAGTTAATCAAAGTTCCAAAGTTTTCACCACAGTAAAGCAAAGTTCCAAATTTTTCACCATAGTAAATCGAAGTTCCAAAGTTTTCACCACAGTAAACCAAAGTTCCAAAGTTTTCGCCATAGTAAATCAAAGTTCTAAAGTTTTAACTATAGTTAATCAAAGTTCCAAAGTTTCCACCTTAGTAAATCAAAGTTCCAAAGTTTTCACCATAGTAAATCAAAGTTCCAAAGTTTTAAGTTTGGAACTATAGTTAACTATAGTAAACTAAAGTTAATTTTAGTATTTTTTTTGTTAGGGCTACACCAAGAACTGCACCAAAAATGTTAACCTGCCCCAAAAACATTAACCTGGTCATTCCTTTGCTGAAATTGCAGTATCTGAAACTTTGAATGGTACAATGAAACCCACTAGAAACATCTTCCATGCATGTCTAATCATTATAGGATATAGAAGTACTTAAAAAGAAAACTGCTCCAAAAAACTAAATCTTTAACCGGGACACCGACATTGACGCCGAGGGTATCACATAAGCCCCCCCCCCCCCCCAACTTCGTTGAGGTGAGCTAAAAACTGTGTAGCTAATGAAAATTCTGTATGTACTGTGCATTGACGTGATTCTTAAACGCAAGATAATATCAATATATTTCAGTGTTCAACTGCTTTCCGGGTGAGCAATGTGGCCCATGTGCCTTTTGTTTACTTGTGTATGGATCTGATCTGAAAACGTTCACCTGGTCACTCTTCTGAAAAAGTGTCTTTCCCTAGATATGTCATACATACAAGTTTAATTTGGTCCAGGTAGAGAAAAAAAAATATATATATAATATACTGTATATAGTTACTTGGGAATGGGTCTGAACTACTAAATTTAAACTGGGGCGCTGAGGCTGGGGGTAAAGCATAAGCTCATCTCCAGTTCGACAAGATGACCTAAAAAAATCTTTTAAACATTTTCTTTATTACATTTTTACTAGAAATCCAATTAATTTTTAAATGTCCCCCAAGACAAAGGACAGACATGCATATACATATTTATATATACAGAACATAACATTTGCACAGTGATTTATGAAATCTGAAAGGAAAAAGAAACGCAGGGTAGCCTAATGTTCGACAAAATTTTGACCACATGACCGAAAATAACGAAAATTGGTCAGAAGAGAAATTTAGTTTCTGTGCACCAAAATCAGTATTCAGAATTATTCAACCGTAAAATTTATGACGTCACGTAGGGAAAACGCTAAAAAGCCCAAAGCACGTGCAATTTGATAACGACGAGTTTGTCAACAAATATTGTTGCACTATTTGATGCATATGAGGTATGCACATCGTTTTTCAATATTAAGAGACATAATGAATTTCTTGCAATCTTGGCACAATTTAGGGAAGATCAATGGGGTCCTGTTTTCGAATGTCCAATTAATGAAAAAGGCAACAACGGTTTACTAAGCAGTTTCTTGTAAATTTTCCCCCATAAAACTTGTTACCCGTTGTCAGAGAGGGTCTGGAATGGTTTTCAATCAACCGTGACGTTGACGTTAACGCGAAACAGATCCATGTTACGAGCGGGTTATTCGTCCTGCCATCTCTTAAATCGCCACCTTACTTCCACAAAAACAGCCATTTATACAGTAGACGATTATAATCATTACATTCATACGAAATTTGAAACAAAACAATTCCGCAATTTGGTTTTTTGAGCCAGTCAACTTACTGTTGTATTCCTCTCACTGGCGCATGCGCACGCCGTTTGACTTATTTTTTGCGTGGTTACCCATGCGAAATATAGCCAGGGTTTGAAAGATAAACACTCTGATGAAATTCCATGCAAAGGAGAAATAAGGCTCTGACAGATGCACAGGAGAGACATTGAAGATAATGCGAGTTTTCGATTTTCATTTTTGGGGGGTATCGTCATTTGAGCTTCAATATCTCATGAATTATTAGACAAAATCAAATGGGAATTTGGTTATATCTTTTTGAAAGATGATCTTAAAAGTTAGATAGGAAAACTAAAACATATTCTAAGAAAAACAAATTCAATTAGCCTCAAAAGTTTACCCTGCGTTTCTTTTTCCTTTCAGTATACATTTACATAATAAACACATGAAATGTTTTATAAAATGTTTACACCCTCATGAAATGGTCATTTGAAAATGCACATTAATTACAAACATATTTGTGTTTAATATATGTTGTACAGGTTCCGTTGTTTGAACAATTATAGCACAATACCTTTCAAATACTCATTAACTGTTTAGAAAAAAACACCTATTTCACTGATGAAATCAAATAAGGTAGCCCGTTCACTTTAACGAATTTTTACTGAAATTGCAAGATAATATAATATATTTACATTTGCTGTGTTTTTCTAGTAAGCTTACTGTGAAATTGATTTGAAAATCATATTCGTGTATACTCACGCGTAGAAATATACACGGAGAAACGTGCGTTAACGTGACGTCACAATGAGGCTGCAGCAACGTTAGTTAAAGTGTCACGATATGGGGCAGCGAGAAATTCAAATATTTTAATACCATATTTTCGTTGCTTCCAAACATGTAAAATGTAAATATGAGGAATGTTTTTCAGTTTAGTGTGAATTATTGGTGTGTGAATCACACAGACTTGCACGTGGGCATACTTTTCATGAAGCGCTAGCTTAAATACAGTTATGGAATGGGTACGAGAGAAATAGCAAATTTATGGTTCCCCGAGGGAGAAAACTATTTCCCGAGGCGGCGAAGCCGACGAGGGAAATAGTTTCCAGCCGAGGGAAACCATAAATTTGCTATTTCTCGAGTTCAAATTACATAACTGTTTTATTATACCGAAACAATCATAGGCAATTTAATTTTTTTTTACCAGATATATCGACATTTTAAATATAAATTGCAGAAACATCATTACTAACGCATGTTCAACAGACTGTATGATAAGTGATGCATCGTGTCCTAAAACATCGTCGGAAACCCACGGCTGATTACGCTTCGTTCCTCTCTCCATCACCCGTGGGTCCATTCATACCAATTCGCTCGTTCACATGAATAATTAATGAGACGATTTGATTGGTGGCTCTTGGTACATCTAAAGCGATATTGTCCAATGAGGAAGTCCCTTTCAACGCACTTTCGCTCTGTTGTGCAAGCATAGTGCAATGATTATACCTTTTAGCACCCATATTGCCTACAAATCCTTTGATATCGTGAATGCAAAATAAGTTTTATTACCTTGTATATGACGAAAGTGATCTGTAAGACGGACAACAAATTTAATGAATATTTATGAGAAACAAGCGAATTGGTATGAATGAACCCACGGGTGATGGAGAAAGGAACGAAGCGTTATCAGCCGTGGGTTTCCGACGATGGCCCTAAAACAATTCAACAATTTTCCATTTATAAAAGTTTTTTCACTGACATTTCGAAGAATTAACGTTGTCTTCATTTTGCTAGAATTCAAGTATGATTTTGACATCGCATGTCGAAATGTTTTGACGTTGAACGCTCCGCCCACTGAACACTGTGATTGGTCAAAATTACTAATAAATATTCATTAGTAGCTCTGATTTTCCAGGGAGTAGCTCTGATTTTCCAGGGAGTAGTCTCCAGATGAGGGAAATTGTCTCTTCTCGGGGAAATAGACGGTTTCATGGTATTACTTTTATATAGAGTAATTATAGTAAAGGTATAATAAAGGGTGTTAAGAAAGTTCATTCCACATTTTCTTTTATTTTTGAAAAAAAAAAAAATAGGTCGAGAAGATAATTCAAATTTGTGATATTTCATGTTTACAGAGTAAATTCTTGCTCCTGATAAGGTTTTAACTGTCTTTTGTTGAATCAATAATAAGGGGAAGTCAGGTATTAAAACAGATGATGTCTGTTCAGAAAAATTAGGGATGACGTATATGTGCGACATGTAATAAGCACACAGGTCAAAACATCCTTTCAAATACAATGCAATTATTTTCAAGTCGGTGAAAAATTTCAAAAGGACAAACCTATTCTTTTGAAAAGTTGTCTATCGTTCTTATACCTACGCTCATCAGCTTGTCTGATGGAAGATAAGATATGAAAAAACAAATGTAAATTATCCTTAATTTTCACTAAAAATGACCAGCATTTCTATCATACAGGTGCTTTACAGATGCCACATATACATGTAATTTCATATGAAAGAAAAACCCCATAACTTCATGCTAGACATGAATTGCTATAAATCTAAAGCACACTCGTGAAAGAACTGATTTTATTATGCATGGAAATCAATCTCTTAAGGTAAGGTTTGCGTTAACAGGGAGATAACTCTTGCGAATCACCAAAGCGTTTGAAACAGGTGACTTTAAACCAGCGTTGCTAAGCATCTTGGTAACGAATTTCCTCTGTCATACTTGATGCTTGTTGTCACTTAATGTTAGGACTAAAAACAAAGGACGTTTTAAGGAGAAAGTCTTATAACAAATCAAAGCATAGGAATCTTAAAAGCCTTTGAGATTAGCGTGATGCATGTGGATGAACCAATAAAGGAGGACTTGTTTATTTTCGATACGGAATGTGGCAAGTTGTAGGCCATTCGGATCAGAAGAAAAGTTATCGACGCATTGTGCTGTTGTGTGTTTCTCGCTTCACCACTACACTAAAATTTTAAGTGAGAATGGGAAGGAAAAAAGAAAAGACCTGAGAGTATCTGTAAAGTATTATGCTTTAAGCAGTCCGAACAGGGAAGAAAAGTCACGGTGCATTTGACCATGTCCAATGATGATGTTGACAGTTTGATTGTTGATAGTATTTTCATCAGGTAATTATTTAACTATTCATTTTACTGAAAGTTATGAATGATCTTCTGACTACATATTTAAAAACGATGAATAAACGGTACAAGGATGTCAGGATGTGGCTAATATCCCAACATTGCCAAAAAATAAAAATGCATTCATTCAAGAAATTATGAAAAAAAATCCTAACTTTTTAGGCCTAATATTTGTAACATTATTGGAACAGGTATTCAATTGTTCAAGTTACCTTTTAAATGAGGTTTGATTTTAATTAATATCTCATTTTTTAATTAATACAAATTGTGCATGACAAGAACATTAATTTTCTTGATCAAGCATTTGCATTTCACTAATTCAATCTACATGTATAAATTGTACAATAATTTCATATTGATTCTTCATTGATTATATTGGAAATTTCATTTCATTGAGTGAATGAAATTCAGTCCAATTCCTTATGCAATTCCTTAAATGTTATTGTAAAAATGAACACATATGATTTCAGATCAATTGGGTCATTAATTGGAATAGATAAGAACAAAAAAAAAGTACTTCAGTGTTTCCTTAAAATATTTGTGCCATCAATCAAAGTAGAGGTCATCCCATATCAGCTCAAGAATATTAAAGAAAGTTGGATGGATCAAGCTAAGATGTTGAACCAGACATGGCAAAGTCAATGGAGATTTGGAAAAAGAAATGATGATTTGTTGTACCCAATGCATATTTTTTATATGTCTAGATAGATTATAGAAAAAAATTTAATGTTTAACAGCATCCTATCTACCTGGTAGTATATACATGCTGTTTTCAATATATTTAGAAAATATGTGTATGTGATGATTGCAGTGCATGCTCTGTTTGTCCATCTTTGAATTTGTTTTCAGTAAAATAAATGTATACATTAAGGTATTAATTGAAGGTTGCTTTTGTATAAACTTACAAGTAACAAGTTTCTTAAAAGGGTTATTTTGTAAAATTGCAAGGAAATGAATACATGAATAATTAAATTTTAATATTTTTATTCATTAAATTTTGTTCTTACCAGGACCTAATATGCTCAAATAAGTATTTCTGAAAACTGATGAATTTTGTAAATAAATCTGCAGTGAACATTTAACAGTTTAAAATATGACACTTGGAAATTGAAAGGTTGTTAATTTAGTAGGAATGATAAGACCAGTTTAGTAATCAACTAAAATTAAAATCTTTCACAAATACATGTAGTTTATTTTAAAATTGTTTACATTTATAATCTTTAAATTTTTTTCTGTATTTTGATTTTAAAAAGGAGAAAAATTTTTTATATTTAAATTATTATTTCATGGATATCAAGGAGATATATCTATCACTGTAACATTGTTTCTTTTTCCCTGTTCTTGACAAATATTCATGACAGTGTTATGTCATTTTGCAGAATTTGCCTTTTCTCTGAAATCAGAAGTATTCTGTAAACTCATTAAAGTATGAATTGATGTCACTTAGAATTCATCTTTATTTTGTTCTGTCTGATATTTCAATTTAGATTCTCAGACTACCTAATCCAATGATTGAGCTAATGTCCATGAAGTGTAGAAATAGGCCATCTTTAAGATATGTTTGGTTGTCGGCCTCTCCAGACCGACTGACTAAAATGACCAGACTGAAATTTTTTTTTCAATGCAGGGCCATATATATTCTTTTTATTCCTCTTATTCCCCGTTAAGAAATGTTGTTGAAGATTTTCTCACCTACCGACCCAATAATTTTACCCAGAGTCAAGAGAGGGCAAACAAACATTACTTTCAAGATAGCATTTCTACTCTTTGAAGTAAAGAAATCAATTAATTATAAAAACAGCAGCTTCGTGGATGCAATGCTTACAACATTTCACTCAAAAGATGGCATACATGTATAATGATAGTCACGAGACATAACTTAATAAAGATATTTTGCTACGAAGATGTCTAGAAATTACTACATGTTGGAATAACTAAATCAGCATGAGGTCAAATTCAGAGGCCTTTAATTGGGTTAGTTGCAACATGTTCTGAAGTATGTTTATAAACATATACATGTACTTCTAAAGGTGTTGCAGTATAATTCATGGACAATTTCATCAGAATATTCAGATGTAAAGATTGCCATAAATACTAGATTTCTTCCATGGAATAAATTTTTAGACCATCTTGTAGCACAGGAGGAGTTTTATTTTGAATATTTTTGGCCAAGTTTTGCTTAAAAACAATATCAAAAATACATTTAATCTTTAACATTCACCATGACAAGGTGATATCAATGTAGTCTTTATAAGTGTAGAAAAAGCCTGATTTTTGTGTTCCGAACCCATAATATAGCCCCTGTTTCCATGGAAATAATATTGGGGACATACATATTTTTTGGTTCAAATTATTTAAAATGATCAAATTAATAACTTCATGGAATTTGATGGAATAGGTAGATATGTAAAACGTTGATTTTTATATTTTTGTTGCCATGGCAACAGTTTCACTTTATCAAGGAAAATTGAAAAATCTTCTTTTTTACCCAATTTTTCACATTTTTGATAACGGAAAATTAATAGTTTAAATAGAAGAAGCATGAATTATACTAATTCAGGTCATTTTAATTATAAAAGTTTGATAATTAATAAAATAAATCAATTTTTTCAATGAAAATAATATTCGATGTGAAATATGAAATACGTTAAATTTGGCGTCTTTTACTTAAAAAATGGGACGGGCAATATCTTTGAAAATCATATTAAATGATGAAGCTAACCTCCCTGAATAAATTGATATATGGCATGTGTGCATATTAAAAAAAATAAAAGTTGGAGGGAGACGCAAACCTTACCTTAAGTGAAGCACTACTTTGAAATTTTTAAAATATTGCATTATGGAACGAACTTTCTTAACACCCCTTACAAAAGAACAAATGAGTATACCTGTACACGTTCAAGAAGTCCTTGGAAAACAAGCACTGGAAAAGGGTAACAATTTTAAAATGACTTAGTTATGAGAAAAAAAAATCAAAATGATAATCATATCTGTAACATATTTTGAATTATCTAACCCCCTGACACACACACAGCCTATCTTTCTCTTTCCTCAATAACATTTGACTCGTCTGGGTACAGTCTTACTCAGCTAATAATGAAAGATCTGTTTCTCCATTAATTATTTCAAGTCGATCTAATGCTTCTTTGATATCGTCTTTATCTCTTATTAACTGCTTCTGAAATTAGACAAAGGTTGAAGTATACATCATAATAGGTAGCAAAAGACATTGGTTAATAAGTAACCGTTATAAGTGAAATAGAGAACTACATATAGTGCCCTTTGGCTTTTGAATGTTATGAACTAATTAATTGAAACATCATTAAAACATTTTATCACACTAAAATATATAACAATTTTCAGATTCTGGTCCGTAATTTTGATTTCAAATAGTTTGACGCAAAAAATTTTCTATGAACATCATGGCTTTGGAAATGTTAAAAAAATATATAAAGATGCATGCATTATTAAGACCTCCGGAAAAATTGAAATTGAAATTAATTTAGTTCAAATTTTGTATGTATCGATCGGTACCAGATAAAAAGGGGGGCATTGAGAGAGAAAAGAATCTTGAAGTAAATCTGACATGCAGACCAACACTTGTTAAATCCAAGTAATTCAAATAAATAGTTCAAGTCCATCACTTTCGAATTCTAAAAATATCTATCTTTAAATTAATGTTTACTTGCCCTCTCAAAGTAAATTGATTTGGATCTATGGGGGAATGTTTTTTTTTCAAAAAGTTTCAAAAATCTCTTAAACTTTTTATATATAGAATAAGTTAAAATATACACCAATTTAATGTTTTTGTTCATGAAAATGGTAAATCTCCAATATCTAAAAAGTTTTTCTTCAAAAGGGTCACGGAACGTTAATGTGTGATTAATACTTCAAACAGAAGTGTCCTTGAATATAAATTACATTTACAAAATTGCAATTTTTTTCAATATCAAATGCAATCAAATTGTTGAACCATAATTTAACTGAAAAATTCTTACATCACGTTCTTTTAAGTAGTCTGGTATTTTCTGTTCTAATCCTTTGATCTTTAAAAGGATTCTCCTTAGCTCGTCTGTACTTTTCTTCATGTAATCTTCTATTTTTGAGGATGAAAAGAATTCTATTCGACTATAAGTTTCAGGTAATTGCCTTTCATACCTTGCTGGCTTGACATTATATGCAATTGGTCCAGCAATGCTAAATCCTAAATAAAACGAAACTTTCTCCTCAGACACAAATCCTTTCTTGGTGCCTCTGATTTTACTTATTCTTATTGGTTCTCCGTGTTTATTTTCGAAAACAATGTACGGACTTGTGCCATCACTACTAAATGTGGTTGTCCCATATAAACGGTGGAGCTTTTCTTTAGTTTTAAAGTGGTCCCATAAAGAGTTATCAAACTGGGAGTCGGGGTTTTCTCGAACAAACACGGGCATTTCCCATCGATGACATAGAGACTTCAATCCTTTTCCTTTTGCAAGAAAAAACTGCGGTGTTGGTTGCGAGATATTCCGTTCTTCTTTCATGAAATGAGACAATTTCTGTACATTTGGTTTGTACTTCTCTTGTTTGTAATTCCTCTTTAAATAGGAAAGTGACTTTTGTAACAGTGAATCGTCATAAAAACTCTTTGGTTTCTCACAAGGCCATAATAACATACTGATAAATAAATATGCTAAATCCACCTTTTCTAAGCCAACAGATATTATTTTTTGACAGGTTTGAAGTATATCCCTTTCCGAATCACGATTTGGACTTCCCATAATCCCAAGAGCAACATTTACACAAACTTGGTTAGCAAGATCATTTGAATCCTTTGACTGAATTGCCATGATATGTTCTTTAATTCTATTTAAATTCTCCTGAATTTGCTTAGGTCCTAGCTTGTTTCCACTATTTTTCATATGGTTGAAAATATTCATATATGAGTTTCCTTTCAGGGTCCATAATCTTCCTCTGTGATATGCATCTCTGCTTGCTTGATTCACACCCTCAACCTGAGTATCAGGATCGGATTCACCATAAATTTGAGAAAATCTTTCTAACATTCTTTCATGCCCATAGTGAAAACTTCGATAAAATCTGTGCTCCTTCAATTTATTTGTGTTTCTAAAAGCTTCTTCGGGTGCATAAAAAGTGGTGTTGAAACAAACATTGTCCTCTAAAACCTTAAAAGCACTGTGTCCCTGCTCCCTCATTAATTTCAGTCGATGATGAAAACTCTTCCATACGAAAGAAATTTCATCTGGAATAAATTCTGTATTTTTTAGGTAGTGTACAATATCTTTCCTATCCATAGTGCAGTTGATGTTTACCGTTAAAAAATTTGTTATTTCATTAATGGTGTAAATAGCATCGTGAAAGGGATAAAGTAACTTCTGTGTGTTTGTTTCATCGTCCCGTTCCCTCTGGGCGCGAAGAAAAACCTCCAAAGAATTTAAAATCAAGTCCAAATGTTCACATGCGTCTTTCGGTTGAAAAAATTTATCCTTTGTAAGATATCTAAATTTTTCTCGCAATGCAAGGCCGTATGTGTGAAGAATATATGAGAGTGATTGTTTCGATGATAAGTCAACAGCTTCTTTAGCCCATTTTATCGCCTCATCGTATTTCTTCCATTTCAAATACAGTCGAGCTAAGGCCTGGGGTAACATATAATCCTGAAATTTGTAAAATCCAAGCTGTAATATTTCTGCAGCTTTTCCATAGTTATCTTCCGATCCACTAATTATATCTTCAATCAAAGGACTAAATTGTGTCGTCTTCTCGTCATCATATTCTTCTTTTTTCCGACGCTTAAGCATGTCTAAAGTGAAATCAACGAGAAGTTTTTTTCCATATGAATTACTTTGTAAAAGCGAGCAGTTAAGATATTCTTCTGCAATGTCAGTCAGTTGCGTTTCTTCACGTTTCATTATTTCCTTTAGGAGTACTTTTCCAAGACTTGGATGCGCTGTTCGAACTTGTCGCCCACTTGCATCTTCCTTTTCCTCGATTACAAGTAAAACTCGTAGAGGACTTGATAAACGATCTTCCCAGAATCCTGGCTTGCTTCCCATTAACTCATCACAGCATTCGAGTGGAACAAAAACCTTTACCCCACGTCTTGTAAATGATGAGTATGTAGCAAGAAGGGACACATACTTCATTAATTTGTATTCATTTGATGTTGTGTCAATGTCACATATCAAAAGCTGAATGGTTGTTTTGATATATTCTTGGTTGAACTCTGAGCGCATAATCATAAATGATATTAAATGTTGAGGTTTATATTCTTCCAATTCTAACTCTTTCCCTGTTCTCTCTAACTCGTCAAATTTGTCTGTGAACCATGTCTTCTCGCTTTTGCTAAGTTCCTGTTTAAGGTAGAATATGTTCTGACTTTGATATTCACAAAAATTTAATTTCTCCTCCCTTTGACACATTATTAATAGACAATCCATTCCTTCACTCAAAGTTTTTTTCCTGAATTCAATATTCAATTGCCTTGTAAATTCAGTTAAAGAAAGTTCTGTTTGAACAATATCATCTAACAATAGGATAACTGGTCCTGGTTGTGATTCATTTTCGTCACATTCCTTATATTGCCAAAGTGAAAGAATATGAGAGATAGTCAATTCTGATATTTTCTGAATCACACAACATCGGTACTTCCGTCGGAAATTCCATAAAAGTTGATGTCCAAGAGTTGTAGCTCCAGCTCCCGGTTCATGTGCAATAGTAAGTGTTACTATTTTCCGTGTTTCTTCTTTGGCAAAAAGTAACAGAGATTGAGCTCTCTCTTGTAAGTTGCGGAATTTATATCTTTCACAGACATGGTTTTCAAAAAAGAAATTCCACCATGTAACATGCTTGCCTTTGTAAAACTGTAATTCTTGTTCTCCAGCAAACTGTTTTCGAACTTTATGGTTCTTGAATTCTTTACTTTCACATTGATTTGCGCTCAAAATACTTAAATCATCTAAGGCATCTATAAATCTTTCGTCAACGTGAACAAGCGCACCAGATGAAGATGGCAAAAAGCAATTCATTTTTTCATCATAACCCGTCAATGCTGTGATGGTACTTTTCACATGTTCCCACGGCATCCCTACTACTGACACATTCTCTAATTGTTCCCTCTCCCCTTTGCATTCCTGTTGTATAGTTTCAGCAAAATCGTCAAATACTCTTTGGTTTTCTGCAATGATTACAAGTGGTTCCCATCCGAAGTTTCTTGTTATTTCATTAAATGTGTCTATTAATCCAGAGTAGTCACTTGAAAAAAGAAGAACTAATATAACTGCTCTTCCTTTGGGAATCACAAAATTTTGATTGAAAAAAGAGACGGCATCACAAACACCTGCTGAATAAGACACATGCCAACCAGATCTGTCATGATGTGGCTTATCTTCAAAATAATCACTTCGTCCATTAGCAAATATCCATACTGTTTTCACATCATACGGAAGACCTAGTTTATTTGCCAATTCTTGAAAGTTCCCAGCGTTATCATGGAACAAACGTTCTGTTTGTAGATAAGACCTCTCTGTGTTTCGATACAAGTGACACAAACCATTTGTATTGGAAAAATCGTCAAAATCAAAAACAGCAGTGAACTGCATTCGTTTTATAAAAGACATGCTTTCTGCCCATTGGTCATTCAATTTTTGCTGATCTGTAGGTTTACTGAGCACAAGAACTGGCCATAGTCGTTTATCAAATCTGTATAAACCTCTTGTGAGAAGACGCTCTAATTTTGTAGCCAATTCTTCCCTTTTCGGTGAAAGTTTAACCTTTCTTTCATTATCACATAGTTGTCTTTCTTTCACATTTTCTAACAGCTCTGCTTTTATAAAAAGTTCTTCTCGTTCATTTATAAGGTGAGTAGTAGAAGAACCTTTTCGCACATACAGTAGGGGTTTATTTTCCACAGATTTATTTGACAAATGTTTAATGTTTTTCAAATTTACTTTAAAATGGTGTTCTTTGCACCTAGCAGATGAAGGTTCTACATCTACCTCCATTACATATCGGCAAATGTTTTCACCAGGAATAACGACTTTCACAAATATTGGATTGGATATACATTTCTGAACAATGTTCACTATTTCATTGAAAAAACATCTTGATATTCCTTCACGCAATGCATCTGTATATTTTGTTCTGCTATCAAAATCGATTTCACTTATTTCAAAACCTACAATCTCACCGTGTTTATGTGTTTCATTGTCAGTGCTAGCCACAGAATCTGCCACCCCGAAATAAATAGTTCCATTTTTACGTGCATTGAGACAACCACAGGCAAATCTTAATACCTCTAGCTGAAATTTTATTAGTCTACTTTCTTTTGCCTTATTTACACAATTGAAAAATGACTTGAATTCTAAACACCTTGTTGATAGTGTTCCATCATTTTCTGGTTGGGAGAATATTTTTCCTGCAGAGTACATTACATAGTCGGAACTTTTTTTAAAATCTCTTGGTATCTGAGTCTCAATTGGCTTTCCTTTCCCATTTATACTCCTCTCATGTACTGAAATATCTTTAGATGACATTCTCGGTTTTTCTTCTAGTTTCTGAATGCTTTTTTCACAAGCTTTTGGTTCTTGGTGATCCAGATTTTCTTTTGTACATGTAGCAGATGTACTAGTATCTGGCACTTGTTCGACTGTATTACTAATATTAACTGGTCTTTCCATATCCCTTGTGTCAACAAAATTACTAGTACTTAAGTTAATTGGTGTTTGCTGTCCACAATATGTTGCTGGTATTGTTTCCTTACAAAATCCCTCTGAGTAGTCTTCTGGATTAAAAAGATAGTATTCCTTTAAAGAATTAAAAGAAAACTGAAAATGTTCTGGTATTTTAGGGTTTCTTGACAATCTTGTCACATATCCTCCTACATAAGGTTTTTGCAAAAGTGTTTTGCTTATCAAAAGTATTGCAACCTTAAATTTGAGAATTGTAGCAAGTTCCTTATCCATGACAAATGCTAATTTACACTGGTTCGAAAGTTGTACACTTTTTTTCCTGTTATACAAATAAACACCTGACTGTCGACTCTCTGTAAACATATCTCTTGTCATTGGCGGAAGATGAACAAGCCATTGGTCCATATGCTTGCTAATTTGTTTCCATAGTCCATTCTGCTGCTGTTTTTCTTTGCATTCATCTTCACAACTTAGGATAAAGAAGATAAAATTTTTCTCTAATTCGTTCATGTTTGTCCATCCTCCATGAAGAATACTCAGTTGGCATGGTTCACAATCATCTCTTTGTAATTTATTTAATTGAAGCAATCTGCACAAGGCATATTCATAATCATTCTCAAAGGAACTTTCAGAAAATGCTTCTTGAACTGGGTAATCAATAACTTCACTATCGTGTTCTTCCTGAATTGGGATCGATTGCAAAGAATTTCCTGTTGCAACATTTTCAGACAAAGAGGTTGTAGACTCCGGGGATTTTACTGGATCATGTCCAATTTTAAATGTTTCATTGCGCTTTAGAAATATCTTTTTGAAATATAATCCCTTTAAATTCAAATCTTGGAAGTCATGTTGTATTTGTTTCTCATCTTCATAGCTGTAAAATGCATGTCCGTCAACATGTCTATCAACTGCACACTGACAAAGTTTATCAATGCTGTCATCTTTAAAACGAAAAACTCCTTTTAAAAATTCCGATATTTGCAGTGCTGTGAAATTAAGCAATTGATTTGAAATTCCTTTATAGATTTTGTCTCTAAAGCCTAGGATTTTCCTTGCCAGTCCAACTGGTAATCCTGTGTCTAAAAGGAAGGAGTCTATGCAGCTTTTGTCATAAGAAAATAATGTTTGCCCATCCAAAAGGGATAGAATACTAAACTCCTTCAAAAGATCGTCATTTAATCCTACTTCATTCTTTAACCACTCCTCAACATCTGTCTCTGAACTATCTGGAGCTATCTCTGTAAGACAATAAAAATAAAAACATTAAATCAGTATTTATTTCATAATATTTCCATTTGTCATTTTTTTTCTTTGAAAGATAGTAAAGTTGGTTTCTTGATAATTCTATCGGAATGTAAAGTAGGCAGGTCAATAGGTCAGGAGCTAAGGAGGTTTATGTGCATGCAAATCTCATGAGCATCTGTCTCTGTGTCTGACACTAAAGAGGCTAAAAATGCATGTAAATCTCATGAGGCTGTCTTTATGTTTGACGTCAGTGGCCGAGGACTATTGAAATTGGCATGGGAGTCCTCCTGTAATTTTAATCTATGTCTACACTTTTAAACTCTAAATCTACAATTTTATCTCACAATTATGTGTGTATAAGGAATCACTGTCTAATAAGTATAGTATGCCAGGGACATCAACGATAGAGGGAAAATTTATGCAAAACAGGCTGTGCTCGTTATGCAAATTATCCCATGTTTCCCACTAATGTTGATGCCCTGGCATACTATACTAACTAGACAGTGATTCCTAAATTAAAATAAATCAAATGTTGTTGGATTTTTACTAAATGAGTTTTCTATTTCATTAGCTCTTTAAAATCTTTGTTAATGGTAGACATATTCCGGTTATCTTACCAGTTGAGGATTCTTGCATTCCTCCTTTACCCTTAACCAAGACATGAATGTTATCGAATGGCTCAAAATTGATTGAACTTAGTTGGTTCACAGTTTTTCCTTTGTAGAGCATTAACTGTAATCTGATTGGAATTCCAAACTCTGATCTGACCTTTTCCTTCAATTTCAACAAAGAGTTTGAATGTGACTCAAAATTCACAACAGTATTTTTTTCTCCATAGAGAAGACAGACAGGGGTTCTTCCAGAATGGACAATTTCATGACATTTTTCTTCAGTTAACAGTGAAGTGGTTATCTTGGACTCTTCTGTACTTCCTGTGCTCCTTATATGACACCCATTTTCACTCAAATGTACCATATCCTATGAAAACAAACGGACTATAGTTAGTTTTGTTGCATTTAATTTATTATAAGTTAAACCTATATATGCCGTATTAGTGTTTTATTTTAAAAGAAATAAATATATGTGGTGTCTCATCAAGTTATATAAGTTATATACTTTCTGCAAATAAGACTTTTAAAAGTTATGAAATATTACTTGGTAAAAATTATTTTCTCTCCGTGTCAGATAAAAAACCGCCTCTTATTGAAATATTCATGATCACGTTGTCTCGCATGTTTACAGCAAACAATGGTCCAATCTCGTGAATGAACCGAAAAGCATGATGGTCTACTACGTTTTTACTACGAACACGTGAGTTAGGGATTGTCAATATTGAGAGCACCTCAGAGTTGGTTGCTTTTTGTACCGAGGAATAATCACGTGCAATTGTCTTTTCAATGGACATTTTCGGTTGGGTGAACTTCTACAGATGTCAGTGACTATGGATAAAGAAGTGTGGAAACCATGTTGTGCCAAAATGAAATAACTAATACAAACAATTGATATAATTTGATCAATCAAAATGGTTATTACATACATTGGATTCTGCATTTCTTAATGGTTCAAAACAACAAAAAGTATTCCACAGAATACCATGTATAAATCTGCACAATATACCGAATGCCAAAACCAGAATACTACTAAATAATATAATTATATTCTTTACATATGAACCACAGTATTTTTTACCCCTTGAAAATAATTAGTAGGTTATCAGCATTGGCTCGGGCTAATTCGAAAGTGAAATTTGGAGTTTGGCCGTAAATTGTAGTAAATGAATAAAATTTAGTAGTGAAAGATATTGGAACCTATTTCACTTGTCAGATTTCTTCGAGCTAGTTAATTCTTATTCTAACTGTTCTATCCCCAACCCACTTTAATAAAAAAAAACGATGCTACCTACCTGAATTAATTTTTCTTAATGGTTTTCATCGAAATGCTTGGTTGTGCCCTCAAACTGGAATAGTTTTTAGAGGCCTGGAATTCCTTGACCAATTTTATTTTATAAGCCCAACTATATTTCTAAGAAGGCAAGATGTATGGTATGTAAGTTTCATCTACATATGTTATGTAGTTCATATTAAAAAACCAAAAGGGATAATTGACGATATCCCATTCATAAACATAGCAGTTTAAATTACTTCCCAGATATATTGTACTTGACATAAAATTTTTTTGCGCATAATGCGCTCCATACTGAAGATCCGTAAATGTTCACCCAACCGAAAATGTCCACTAGCAGTACAGCACGGGGAAACTCTAAACAAACGGACTTGTACAATGGAGTGGGGAAAACTTTAATTTTCATCATTGCTAACCATTTGTATGCAATTATGAGCATGGGATTAGTAGATAATAATGTACATAATGCATCAAGTCTTTCTGAGAGCGATTTAAACCAGAAGTCTCTGTCGAGACTGAAGCTCTACTGGTTTGTACTTATAGCAAAGGAAGAGAAAACTTCTTAAGCAGTTGGAAATTGAAACTTTTCAACAGCAATAAATAGAATAATGATTCTTGATTAAGTCTCTTTATGTTCTTAGTGTAGACTATTTGCATGCCACATTATATTATAATCAGACTAAAACTGTATTAGAGTAGCATTTTGAGAGTATTTAAAGAAATTTCAATTTTTAGTAACCATGGAAACACCATTCATTGAAGTGAAAAACTGATAAATAGAATTATGTACCTTAGTGTAGTCTACATGTGTGCCAAGTTATATTGAAATCAGACCAAAACTGTAGGAAGTGTAGCATTTTTAAAGAATTCACAGAAATTTCTTTTTTTAGTAACCAGGGCAACACCGTTCATTGAAATCAAAAACCGATATACAGAATTATGTATCTTAGTGTAGTCTACTTGTGTGCCAAGTTATATTGAAATCAGACCAAAACTGTAGGAGAAGTAGCATTTTGAAAGAATTTCACAGAAATTTCTATTTTTAGTAACCACGGCAACACCGTTCATCGAAATCAAAAACCGATATACAGAATTATGTATCTTAGTGTAGTTTTCTTGTGTGCCAAGTTATATTGAAATCAGACCAAAACTGTAGGAGGAGTAGCATTTTAAGAGTACTTAAAGAAATTTCTATTTTTAGTAACCACTGCAACACCGTTCATCAAAATCAAAAACCGATACACAGAATTATGTATCTTAGTGTAGTCTACTTGTGTGCCAAGTTATATTGAAATTAGACCAAAACTTTAGAAGGAGTAGCATTTAAGAGTATTTAAAGAAATTTCTATTTTTAGTAACCACGGCAACACCGTTCATCAAAATCCAAAACCGATACACAGAATTATGTATCTTAGTGTAGTCTACTTGTGTGCCAAGTTATATTGAAATCAGACCGAAACTGTAGGAGGAGTAGCATTTTAAGAGTATTTAAAGAAATTTCTATTTTTAGTAACCACGGCAACACCGTTCATCAAAATCCAAAACCGATACACAGAATTATGTATCTTAGTGTAGTCTACTTGTGTGCCAAGTTATATTGAAATCAGACCAAAACTGTAGGAGGAGTAGCATTTTGAACAATTGTTTACAGACAAACAGACGGACAGACAGCTGTTCTTACGAGAGGTACATTGTGGGGTAAAATTAACGTATTTTCCAGCAGTGTGGGGTTTTTTTGGTACTGTGGGGTTAACCCCATAATGAAGAGGTCTATTTACGTTCAAAATTACTCTATGAGGTCGAAAAACCTAAAATTAGATTTAACCTCACAAAGACTTTGTCCAAATTTTGGACATGTCCTTAGCCCAAAACGCTCAGACATTCAGAAATCTGCTGTTTAGAGGAGTTCGGTAATTGAATCGAGGAGTTCCGAATACCTGCGCATGCGCAGATATTTAAAACTAACTGCGCATGCGCAGAATACGGAAGTAGCTGTGTTTGGACACTTTGTATTAGCAGTGAGGAAATTCGGAAACACAAAAAGCAAATGCAGTAAGTCTTACTATTTTGTTGCACCACATTGAAAACAAGAGGCCCATGGGCCACATCGCTCACCTGAGCCATCTTTTCAAATTTAGAATGGTTTTTTTTTCTTTTATCATGTCTCCTGACTTCCAAAAGTGTCATGTTACAAGTATATCGAATCCATTTTGATGATTTGGATGCTTAAATTCCAATTTGACTAATTGTGTTCTTTTTACTAAGAAGTTTTATCATCTAAGCTTCAGACATATATGCACATACTGTAATTCCATTTAAGAGCCAAAGATTGTTCATTAATTACTGCATTTTGCATTAAGCTTGGCAAGTGCAATCAGTAACTAAATTTCCTTCAGTAAATAAGGAAAATACATGGTTGTAGTTAAAATTTTATTCAGAAAGTTATGCAATTCTTAAGTAATTATTTGCAGGCAACAATATGAGTAAAATAACAGATAAAATGTTCAGAACAAGGTGATACATATTAAACTATGTTGACACATTTGATATTAGAATATACATATTTTTTAAATACATTTCTTATCTTGAAACTAAATCATGCACATACATACATGTGAAGTACCAGGTGGTAATTAAGTCAAAAACATCATTAAATCAGTAGATGTATTATTAAATTTAAAACATAATGATTGTAAATGACAATAAATCTTAATGAAGAGTATGCTGTATAAAGCATTGGAAAAAGATTTGAAAATGCAGTCAAAATATGCATTTTTGTCTTAAATATATAAATCACTTTTTGAAAAAACAATCACACAATATACATACCTTTCCCAATGAAAGCGAAAACGAAAGCGGGAAAGGTTTATGTGTAAGTGATTGAAAAAAGAAGATTTTTCAAGTTTTACCAATATGCATAGTACCTTATGTTTACATAATTGCATTACCAGAACTCCTGATTCAAAGAATCTTGTTGAACAATTTAAAGGAGCGCTTTTTTTCCTCTGAAGTTTTTATTACAGATGTAGCATATTGTATGTGCAATTATATTCATCAGTAATTTTTTTGTCTTCTAAAAGAGGTAGGTTTACCTCCCTTTACGGGCTGGCCATTGACCCCCTCTTTTCATACTTACCTTATATCATAGATTTTGTACACATTAAATTTGATCTTAATGCACCTGACGTTCAGAAAAATCTACATGACCTGATACGTCTTATTCATTTGAATCAGGGAATCTGAGTTTTCATATATAAAATTCAACTGTGACAATGTAGTGACATTTTTAAATTGTAAGCATAGTATGTTATTTACACAAGTTTTTTTAAGAAGCATAATTTACAAAGAAGTTTATAGTACAAATAAGAATTATTATTATTAAGTAAAATATATTTAATATTTTGTAAGTGCAGTCTTATCATGATTTTCTAACTTATAATCAAATTAAGAAAACTAAACAAACAGCCACAAATCCAAAGTAAAAGTGCAAAAAAATATTTCAGCAAAAGATTAAAGGCATGCAGTCAATGGAGACATCCAACTTAATGGTTTGCACATTTTCTAAGGTGACACATATTTATTTTTTGCAATGATATATCTGGCATTAATTATGAGAAGATGAGTATCACACAAATTAAGTAGGCTAGCTGGAAGAGTCAGATCGAATCACAAGTAATGAAATGCTCTATAGTCACAAATTACAATCACTGCAGTCTATCAAAGAGTGTCCTTCAATGTTCTTCAAGAAATATTACAACATGATAAAAGAGTTCCCAACACAAAATTGTGTTGTCGGTATTTAAATCCAAATGTCATACTAAGGGACAGATGATTCTCAATTTCTGAAACATAATTATTGTTTGTACATGTGAGATATATGAACTCTATAAATGGTAATACACATGTACACTGAATTTTACACAGAATAGACAAGATATATCCAATACAATATTCTACAAAATGATATTATGCACTATTATTTTGAATATACATGTACATGTAGATGATTACTTGTAAAAAAAACATTAAAGTAAAATAAATCAATTTCACAAACTTGACATTCAGTAGAGTTG